AGAATCAGAGGGTGTTCTTAACTAAAAAAAGGAGAAAAAAAGTTTGTATTCCACTTACATTTCTGTAAAAAAAAAAAAAAATCTTTGAATTTGTCTTCATTTTTTTTGTGCTCCAAATTTGCACACGAAATTTGTGTCGACAAACAAGTTTCGATAATAATGAGAAAGCAAAGTACCTTTGTTACCAGTAGAATTGGGTTCGACTGTTCCAGACAATCAGCTCTTAAACAACAGAACATTGGGATATTTATTTAGTTGTCTAGATGTATCTAAAATCCAATCCAAGCAATAAAATTCAAGCACAACCTTAAAAGTGCTAAGCCCTAATCAAATGCTTAATCCCCATACTCGAGCTTATACCTAGATCAAGAACTAAACTCCATATAAACCCAAGTCTATGATTCATATGACAACCCATATACCTTGCAATTATAAAATCAAAATGTGTAAACCACATCGATTATTCAGTAGCTAATATTTATTGGAATCAAGGTTCCGCTTGGGAAGAGTGCAAAATACAAATATCTACCATGCAAATACATAGTTTAGAAGTACAGTATTCAAATATTGCACTGTACATATTTGTATTTGCACTCTTCCCAAACCGAACCCAAAGAACATAAAAAGAATGCCTGGTTTTGTAACACAAAATAGACATGGGAACTTGTGGTTAGTGTTGTGAAAATGTGTGATATAGTTTTTCAACAACAAATTTTCTTCACTACTTAGTAATTGTTTTTTGTTTTTTTGAAAGGTAAGGTAAACTTGTCTTAAAAATAGTCAAAAGAAAGTTTACAAGTGTGATAGTTCACTGTAGAAAAAATTTCTATACATATTAACACCATTAAGAACCCCCAAAAAAACGACAACATTCAAAAAGGAAGAAGAGAAGCTGTGTCATCCATGAAGTGCAAATTGACACTCCACCAGGCTCTTAAACTTCCAAAAATCTGATTTATCAGCTCCTCTTCTTGCATTTGTTTTTTGGTCAAAGACCCTCCTGTTCCTCCAGATTACAGCCAGAGGAATAGCTGTCCATAGTAGTTGTCCCTTTTGGTCATACCTCCTACCTTCCAGCTTTCAACAAGGACCCTAACTGAGGCAGGCATACAAAATTGGATGCCTATGGCTTTGATAAAATGCAACCAGACTTTAGACGAGAAATTGCAGTGGATGATAAGATGGTTAGATGTCTCTGATTCTTGGTTACATAGCACACATCTGATATCAGGCAACATCATTCCTTTTCTATTCAACAAGTCCTTGGTGAGGCATTTCTCTTCTACAGCCAAGCATGAGAAGAACTTGATTTTCAAAGGGGCAATCCCTCATCCCCAGATTGCTTCACTACTTTGTAACTTATAAGAGGAGAATGACTCTGAATAATACTGTGGTAAGTGAGATGTCAAAACTCTACTTGAAGGTTATAATGTTGTATAACTCAATCAATTATTCTTTCCTCTCCTTCAACATAAAAGGCCATTACCCAATTATTCTTTCCTCTCCTTTGACATCTATCTTGTCAATTCCGTACGTTCATATATATATATTTTTTGATCAATCCGTACGTTCATATTTTCTTATTCAAAATCCACCTTAACCACCCCATCTCCAACCAGTTTTACAATTGCATCTTCGGATTCCATCCACTGCATGAAGGGAGAAAGGGGGGGTATAATGGTCTTTTCAGAGAAACTACTTTTCATTCAAATCTTAAAATTAGTAGTGGATAGTAATGTAAATATGTTACTTCCATTACCTCCAACACTACAACACTCAGAAGGGAAGTTGATGACTTGTCAGGAACCTCAAGGACATCTACATGGTAACTGTAACCTACCCCTTTTTTTCTCTTCCAAGGGTGGGGAAAGGGGAAAGTTATCCTCCAAAAGTAAGTGCACAATAACATCTAAAAATGGCCAAAAGCAAGTTTGTCATAGAATCAGTTCATGAAATGTGGTATTGGACTAAAAATAACCATAGGTTAACGTAAAATATTTCATTAAATACCTAAAAAATAATAGTACCGTTTCACCATTGCCTTAAAGAACATCCTTCAAGAAGTGTAAATATTCCCCATCAGGCCATCACTGCTTATTAACCACTAACTGTGCAAGTTTACCTGACTGCCAAGTTTTTTCTGGTCAAATCAATTTCCAATAAGGTTGTTTCCGAGCTTGGCTTATTGCTTCCCTATTTCTTTCCATATGGGTTTCCAGATATCTTTTGCCTTCAAGATCATAAAAGAACAACTTTCAACAAAATTGTAATTAACTAATGACAATGATAATCAACCACTAGATTCATACATTTACCTGAGGTTGCTCAGTTGCTGAGTCAAATCATTGATCTCAAGGCCAGAAAGTTTTAGTGAAGACAAGGTTCCAGGTACCTCTTCTGATATTACTTTGGACAGTTTATCCATTGAAGCTGCTAATCTTCTAAAGGCCTACTTGTGCAAGAAATCAAAAGCTAGTCAATAATGGATTTATGATCATTAAGATGAAATGAACAAAAGGAATAATTCAAGAATTTACTTACATCCATTGTAGGAATTGAAATTATACCCAATGAGAAAATTGATCCAAAAGCCTGCATGATACTTCAGGTGAGAGAAGTAGACAAATGGGGAAGAATTCACTCCTAAAACCAGCAATGACAAAGAACATGAACTCATTTTTTTACTAAGAAGAACACACGAATTCTTGTTTCTATGCATATAAATGGTCTGGAAATTCCTTTAGTTGTTTCAAAACATGTTCCTCGTTGTCCATCCTTAAGAGTAGGATTTAAGAAGATGAGCACCATGAATCAATGAACAAGCTCAGGGCAGGCTATTTGAATGCAAATGAAGAAACCATTAATTAAACTCTATTCAATAGTCAATACCATTCTTTCTCTGTATAGTGATTCTATTTTGAACTTTACCTTCTCTCTTGAGAAGTCCATCCTTAAGAGTAGGATTTAAGAAGATGAGCACCATGAATCAATGAACAAACTCAGGACAGGCTATTTGAATGCAAATGAAGAAACCATTAATTAAACTATATTCAATAGCCAATACCATTCTTTCTCTGTATAGTGATTCTATTTTGAACTTTACCTTCTCTCTTGAGAAGATTGTGCATGTCTGTGCATTTGTGAAGATTACAATAACTAAATTCAACTGTCTCAATCTGGTATAAATCTCCTATGAAACTCAGAGTAGTAAACTGTTCAACATGAATCCTGTTTTTAAAACTCCACTGCAATTTAGGATCTTGCATGCTGACCTGGACATTCTGATCTAAAAATCAGGCATAAGAAACCAAAAAATAGTACATGTCCTTCCAATATCAAACACAGGAATAATCGTAATATTGATAATAGTTAAAGAACTCCATAGAAAGTATTTGCAACAAAATAAACAAATATAGAGTTTAAGAAATAGTAATTACCGCAGAGAGAACAAAAAGAAGGGAAATAAGCCCCAATTCTGGACTTGGACGAAACCCTAGACTTCTTGCTAAATGTGTGGTTGGAGAAGACACCGATGAATGCTTAAAAAGGATCGAATTCGATTTCTGCAATTTAGAAGTTACTGTCTGAGTTCCATTTCCAGCAGAAGCAATAGCAGTGACCGTTATCCGTCGAATACGCGCCGGTATCCGACGAAGTGTTGCTGGGTATACAGATAGGTGGCCTGCGAGAGACAGAGAAGCAGATGACCGAGACATGGTTCATAAACGAGTAGCTCTGAGCCTCTCTGACTCTGACGGAGTATCGGAGAATCGGTTGGCGCTTGGCAGGATACGGTTTAGAGAAATTAATGATTTTTATTTATAAGTCGGAAAAATCTATGCTGCCGCATACCGGGTATCGGATCGCTACTTATAAATTATTATAGTATGATAATTTAATAATGTGGGGATGTAGCTCAAATGGTAGAGCGCTCGCTTTAGTATGCAAGGAGTGGTACATGTTCGATTCCCTGCATCCCCAATATATATAACTTATATAATAACAAGTTTTTTTTGTCAAAAAGTTTGGTTTTATTTTCCCTTTTTACCTTGTATAATTTTTTGTTTTTTCCAGTAATTTATTTAACTATCATAATTCATGAGGCCATATGATGTCCATCAAATTTTT